GGTTTGATCTGGCACCTTCCAAATTAGGGGCAGGGGGTTCAGGATATCCCTCGAATATTCCAAAGATTATCACAAGATCAAAGGCTTCTCTTAAGTGGAAAAAGGTAGTTCAGTATGCCACAGCCTACCTCTGTTAAACAATTTTAAGCCACAGGGGAAAAAATAAAAGTAAAAAACAAAACCCAGGCATGACTAAGGAAATATTTACAAGCAATTTATGAGCAATGAAGACAGCTTGATTATTTCAACAAGCTGTCTGACCAGCCCTGCTACCCTCCCAAAGCTGCTGGAGTAGGTGGTGTTGCGTGATGCGTAGCAGTCGAACAGAAGCATCACTGCTGGGTGGGGGGGAAGCAGTGATAGCAAAGAAATAGAAGCGGACACCATCACGATCGTAGTCTCGTGCCCTGACACTCACAGCTTCTGTGCCACCTCCCACCCCATTCTCCAGAGCTGGGGTAGCGATACGGGCCCACCTCCCTTTGACAGCAGGGTAGAGGGATTCGGATGGAGTTTCTTCCTCCTGTTCTCAGGCAAAGCGTCAGAGGCGCGCTGCCCATGTGCTGATAGGCTTGTACAGCACCAAACACCATAAAGTCCTGTTCTTCGCTGATCCTCCGGCTCTATATGCTAAAATATTTTTGTTATCAGGCTTGTCATAAACAGAAGATCATGACTTCACTGAAGATCACAAACCTATGCAAAGAGAAGACAATTTTATCCTAAATGGAACTGCAAAGATCTGGACTAGGTAGGAAAGCAGGGCTACTGACAAAGCAGCCTTCTGAAGAAGTCTTCTTCCTTGTCTAACCCTCAGCTTAATGCAACTGATCCCTTCTCCTGTTTGAAAACAGGATGCATGTTTTAGTGATAAAGTAACACCTATGGTATCAAGTTACAGAAATAGCTTCCACAGCTGCCTTGTTCAAGAATTTCAGCGTCCTGAGAGAGCAATTCTGCAGGATGACAGACACAGTGGATAACGCCTTGTCTTAACCCAGGCACTTAGAATATACCACCTTCTCCGTACAACTGCTGCTCAGTGCTGTTGCATTGCAGTGTCCAGGAAACAGAAAGCCAGATGCGTATTTAAAAGTGTTAAAAAAGATTACCAGTCCGGAGGCAAATTTTACCAGTATTTTGTACTTGAAATACATTGAGCGTGGTGAGCATTGTTGAGTTATTTCAGTCAGTTTGGGCTCCTATCCAGGACTTTTAAAAAAAAACCCCGTAGCTAACGTGCAGCATGATGGGATAGTCTTTGGCAAGGGACATCCAGGCAGTTAATTTAACTGTCACATTGGTGTCTTGTAATCGTACAGTTTTAGAGCCTGGCTCACCGCGAGCAACTAGACACCACTCAGAAGGAAGGCCATTTCAGGACTTTGTTGAAGAACCCACTGAGCCTGGAGGACTTAACAAAGTCAGCAACAGTTGAAACAAGGTTAGCAAAATGGCCCAAAGTCCTTTTTTTTCTTGGCGAATCCAAAGGATCTGTTAATGGAAATATCATTTCTGTAAAATGTTTTTGGGCTTAAAAGACACTTGTACGAGACAGCTTTTTCACAAAGGAACCAGAGCTGGGAGGAATAGGATGAATTTCACCGTTTGGGAAGTTAAGATGTTTAGACTGAACAGCGTGGCAGCACGCTGCTCAGGAGATGCCAGTGTTAGAAGTGGGAAGGGCAACTTTAACATAGACATGTGAGTGGGTGTAGCAGTTTGTTTATTAGAGCAAATATCCTTTCCTTTCATCAATATTCAGTGACTAAGCATGGACTTGTACCTCAGCTTTGTCTATTCCTGTGACCTGGACTACTTGACACCTTTGAAAGTGTGTTTTGCTGTTCATTGCCTTTATCAATTCAAGAGGTTAGGGAACAGAACGGAATTGTCAGATAACAGATGTCAAAACCAAGGAGATACTTTTCCCCATCCTAAAATCAAGGTATAGAACTTCTTGCTGCAGCAAACTGTGGAAGCAACAAGTATATAGCTGATTAATAAAAGGGATGAGACGAAATTAATGGAAACTAATTCCATCAGTGGCTATTGCAGATACATAGCCTGCAGCTCTGGAGGTCTACTAAAAAAAAAAACACCCCAAAACAATAAACTAACTGTGAGAAGGAAGATAGGAGTGTGTAAACCATGGAAGTATTGCTGTCTATATGCCCTCTTTCTCCAAGCATCTCCTGTTAGCCACTGGCTGATACCACCCAGAGCCCGGTGCACTGTGCATCGTCCAGGAGGTGCATGAAGTGAGCAGAGCTTTGCAGGGGGAAGGAGTACCCACTTACGTGACTGAGAACTGCATTACACACAGATTCACAAGCAGCAACAGTCCCTGCTATGACGCTTATTGAGTTCTTAACCGTGTTAACTTAAATGCTTTTGTGGTTTTTATGATACATATTTAAAATAGAATAAGGAAGGTGTCTGTGCAAATGCAGACTTATTTCTGAACTACACAGTTAATAGAGATTATGGTCCAAATTTTGCTAGACTTAATGGTATTCCTTCCTCCTACTCATACTTTCCTCCCAGTTCTGCCTTGAAATTCAGCCTGTCAATCAGTTGCAGACATTTCTTATAGTCTAGATTATTTTCTGGCTTCCTGCCTTCAAACATTTACATTCCATGAGCACCAAAAACTGTCCACACAGTACATAAAAGTTTATAGGTTTGAAGCGCATCATTAGCGATGCTGTTTTTCCAGCACCTCAGAAATCACTTTTACATCTTTTAGCCTATATATGTATAATAGGATTTGCTTCCTAAGTCTCTTTACTTTTAATTGTCCCTTTTGTATGCAAAATACTTCAGAATAACCCAACTAATAAAAAGCCCAATTCCACTGTAGAAGTAAGATGTTAAAGGGAAACTTTGTTCTCTGCCATCCCACCTTTATGGTTTTTTTCCCCCTTGTGGTTGCTGTTTGCTCTGCTTCAGGACCAGAAGTCCAGCTGCTCTAAATCTAAACACTCCTCAGGACGTAGGGCAACAAACAGGTAAATGAGTTCCAGTGAACACTGGTGAGCCATATCCTTCCTAGGTGTTCAGACAGGTGTTCAGCTAAGCACTTTGATACTTTGCTATGACAGAAGAACAGTCATTTCACAATGAAATCTTTGGGCTAGAATCTACAGAATCGAGCAAAACCACTCAACCAACCATAGAGATTACTGCAGGTTGAAGAATACAACGCATTTAGTCTGGTGAGCAGTATCAGCTCAATGAATCCGAAGGAGAAGGTCTCTCTAGAGACCTGCATAGCACAAAGCATCAGCAATACAACCATCTCCCATACTGTTTGTTTTTTTGGTTTTTTTTTTTTTTTTTTCCAAAATGCCTGATCCTAGTCCTGGGATTGTTGAGCTGCTTCACACTTTTGATACCCAGCCCTCAGAAGATTAACAGTGCCATTCAACTCCAAGCGTACAGAGGGGTTTCTGGTACTCACAGAGCTGAGCTGCAGCACACAGTTAGTAATCTCAGAAAGGTCAAACACTTCTCATAAAAGGTTCTGGTCATTTACCAACCTAAGTAGATCCACCCCCCCCCCCACCCCCC